CCGGGCCTGAAGGCGGGACACGGAACCTGGGAGCACGAGGTGCTCAGGTGCACGCTGCCCAGTCAGGGAACCTTCCTCCGCGGAGCAGACCCTGAGCCAGGAGCCATGGAGCCCCTGAGCCTGGCAGGAGGCCCGGTGCTTGGTGACAGCGGCCGCTGAGAAGCTGGTGCCTGAGTGACACCCTGGTCCTAGTGCAGGTGGGCGGACTCTGTGAAACACACACCAGACAGATGGTGCCCAGACGCTATGGGCAAGGGAGGGCGGGGTGCTGGGACAGGCGCACAAAGAGAGTCGACCCCGAACTGGAAGGGCCTGGGACAGCCCGGGCCCGGGGAGTCCAGGAAGCAGAGGGCCTGTGAGCAGGGGTCGGGCTGGGGTCCTGCTCTGTGAGGTGCAGGCTCTGCCCACAGGGCACTCGCTCTCCAGGGAGGCCGGGCTGGGTGCAGAGCCCGTGGGCGGGTTACACACGACACACAGGCCACTGACGCAGACCGGTCCCCCAGGAGCAGCGAACCCCCCTCCGAAACACTGGGGTGTGGAGAGGGGAGCACCGAGGGCGGGGTCCCTCCTGGCTTTGTGAGGGAAGGGTGTTGCACCCGGGGGGCATGGGTGGGATTTCAGAGCTGCAGTGACTCAAACCACATGGTAAGGACATCCTGTGAAGACTGACTATCTACGGGCCTCACTTCACAGATGGGTAAGCACAGGCAAAATGTGCTTGGGCTTCTCACTGGCCCCCAGAACCTTCTGGAAGCAGACACACACACGGAACCTCGCCTGCAGCCAGCCTAGTCCCCTCCTCCATCTCCAGACAGATCACCACACACAGGTCACCAAGCTATTGTAACACTCTCTGACCCGGTGGGTGATTTTATTTTTGTTTTTGGGGGATCTGGCTGTAGAAAATCAGCCATGAGCTGTGGTTAGCTTATTTGAGGCTCTTACCTAAGCCCGAGTTCCTATTTTATTTGCATTCCTATGTGCTGTTAGCAGTTTGTCTTTTTTTATTTTATTTTATTTTTTATTAAATTATTATCTGTGTACATATACCATTGCCTGCCCCCCCCTTACATGCTCTCCCTCCCCAGAGTTTTGTGTCCATTGGTTGTACTTATATGCATGTGTACAAGCCCTTTGGTTGATCTCTTATCTTCCCCAGATCTCCCTCCCCTCCCCACTGTAATTTGACAGTTGTTTGTCTTTTGTTAAAATTGGAAATAAAAATAGATTTATTAACACCTGTCAAAAACAGAATATAACTATTTAGATTACCCACTTTACTCATAGGAAAAAAAATTCAATAAGAAACTTGGCATACTGATTTTCATCTGCTAAATGCTATTAACTGGTATCTTATCTAATAAAAGAATAATATGCAAATTAACCACCACTCTGCTCCACAAGCCATGCCCACCATTCAATCAGAGCGAGTATGCAAATAAACCCAACCAAGATGGCTACAGCCACAGAGCAGCAGAGAGGCGTTTCCCAGCAAACCAACTGGCCCCCACCCACGCACAGGCTTCTATCCTATCTAATAAAAGAGTGATATGTAGATTGATCATCACTCCAACACACAATATGGCTGCCCCTTTGTGGTCAAAGATCCTGCCCTTATGTGGACACAAGATGGCCAGCAGGGGAGGGCAATTGGAGCGACCAGGCCTACAAGGGAGGGCAGTTGAGAGGGACCAGGCCTGCAAGGGAGGACAGTTAGGGGTGACCAGGCCTGCAGAAGGGAAGTTGGGGGCAAACGGGCTGGCTGGGGAGCCGTTAGACATCAATCAGGCTGGCATGGGAGAGGTTAGGGGTGATCAGGCTGGCAGGCAGAAGCGGATAGGGGCAATCAGGAAGGCAGGCAGGCGAGCAGTTGGGAGCCAGCAGTCCTGGATTGTGAGATGGCAGTTGGACATCCCTCTAGGGGTCCCAGATTGAAGAGGGTGCAGGCTAGGCTGAGGGACAACCGCTCCCCCCACCCCTGTGCGCGAATTTTGTGCACAGAGCTTCTAGTATAATAATAACTAGTTAAGTAGGAAGAATGCAAACCAAGAGGCTGACAGAGGCCTCACTTCCATAGTTAGGTCCTGAGAATAGCAGGGAGCCATTGAGTTATTGAGCAAGAGAGGGTCATTGTCACTTTGGTGGCTAGTGTCAGGGATAGAAGAATTGCTTAATCCCTGGTCAGCCTTTAAATCCTAGCCACCACCATCCCTGAGTTCATTGTAGTATATACAATTCTTAAGCTGTCAGGCAAGGGGTGTCCAAAGATCAGGGTTCAGAGGGAGAAATGGTGCCTGCTATCATCATCATCTTCACTGGCCTCCGGACAGATCCCCTTCCTTGTCCTGGGCAGTGGGCAGTGCTGGTAGCTGATGCGGTATTGCGCCTGCCTGCCTTCCTGATTGCCCCTAACCGCCTCTGCCTGCCAGCCCGATCACCCCCATGTTTGTTTTCCTTTAGTCTTAGCAGCTCACATGCTATTGTGCCCGCCTCACCCCCTCAGGAGGCATTTGTCAGCAAGTGCAAGAGGAGAGAGGACCACAGCTCCCAGCACAACCCCACCAGCACAGGCCATGCCGGGCCCCAGAGCCTGGCCCATGGGTCAGGCGATACCGGGGGAGCTCCGAGGGCCCACAGTGGTTTGGTTGTGGCACTCACGGAGCAGCTGGAAGACTCCTGTGCGCCTTGGCTCGGCCAGAAGAGCCCTGGCTCAGAGAGGGTCCCGCTGCCGGGCAGCCCTGGGCTCAGCCCCTGTGGGGCTGTGCAGTCCGTGGAGGAAGCTTCCAGGGGGCCAGCAGAAGTGGGCGAGCGGACCTGCCGCCTAACTCCCCTGGGGACGCAGCTGGTGGGGCTGAAGCTGCTGGTGAGGGCGGAGGGAGGGCAGCAGGCAACGCCCACAACTGGGAGGACTAACTACATCTTCCCAAGCGTTTGCAGGAAGCCTTACAGCACAGGCCTCACCCACGTTTGTTTTTCTTTAGTCTTAGCAGCTTACAAGCTATTGTGCCCGCCTCATCCCCAGGATCCCCCGCATGGTTACCCCAGTGCTCTCCTCGGTTGGGTGGCCCGTGGTCCAGGCTGTGGCTGCCAGGCCTGCAGCCAGTCATGGGCAGCTCTTGGGGAGAGAATGCCAAGCACCGAGGACACCCAGCAAACACCCATGAGAGAGCACAGCGTGTGTGACATCGGGAGAGCCCCTTCCCTTGTCCAGGCTTTGAGCGCAGCGCCACCAGCAGTGAGAGTGAGCAGCACAGAAGGCCACCCTCCGGGGGGGCAGCGGCCCCTTCAGACCCTCTCTCCTCAGCACCACGGTGCTGCCGAGGAGGGGGGGAGAGCCAGGGGGAGGAGTGCTGCCCCAGGAGAGGAGGCGGGGAGGGATGGGGGAAGGGGGGGGTGAATGGGGGTGGAGGGTGCTGCCTGGAGAGAGGAGCCGGGGTGGGGGGTAGGTGCTGCTGGATGAGGGGGCGCTGACAGTCCTGGCCCAGCCCCCTCAGTGCGCCCGCTGGTAACAGAAACTGTGGTATTACTAGGGCAGATAGAACCACCTATACTATTTGGAGTATGACTCCAACACAACCTTGGGAAAAAACATTTAATGCAAATATTTAGCCACTGGAACATACAGACAAATAAGCTCAGGATCACTGAGAAAAAACAAAAACAAAAACAAATAAGTATAATTGTCTATTTCATTTTAGTCCCAGGTATTTTCAAAATACTGAAAATAAAATGTACAAATTAACTGGTAAGCAAAAAGGAAACAGAACATACGACATAAAACAGCCTGCAATAAAAATAAAACCAACAAGGACAAACCCTAATTATTTTATTTCTGTGTGTATCAAGACTACAAATAGCATTTAACACTTAATTTATTATTCCAATTAAGAAATTACATGTTTGATAATGGTCATTGTCTTAAAAGTGTCATTCAGTCCCGCACGTGGAAGGATATTGCTAATCGAGTCAGTTCGAGGGACAGCCCGGAGCCCAGGGGGCCGCGGAGGGGAGCGGAGCCGGAGCCGGAGCTGGGCCGAGTCCAGGCCGCCACCGCTGGCGAGGAGGCCCGGCTCTCACAGCCGCCGCTGCCAGCAGCCATGGGGTCCTGATAAAGTGCCGATTGCGCGGAAATGGCCCGCACTCCTCCCTAGGCGCGTGTGGGGACTGTCCCGCCTTCAAAGCAGCACCATTGAGGAAGCAGAGGGTGCAGAAGCGTGGCGGGTCATCCCAACCTCCAGGGCAACGCCGCTGCCCCCAGACGAGGTGTTTGGTTCAAGTGACTGGATCCAGCTCACCGTCTGCTCCCACGTCGTCACTTACTGGGGTCACAGACCCCTCTCCCCAGAGCTCTCCAGACAGAGTGGAGACACATGGGAAAGACGGAGCCCACCCCGCCCCACAGTAACAGCCAGACCAGTGAGGAGGTCCACGGTGCGCCCTAGCAGGCACACCGTCCCTGTGGGAGCCACGGCCTGGCGAGCACAGGACGCCACCTCCACGTGTCTCTTCTCCAACCCTCGCCCTCAGGAAAAGGCAGCAGGAGTTTGAACAATCAGGCTTGTAAACAGCGCAGCCCACGAGAAGCAGTGCCCCTGAGTCAGCACCCAACCCACAGTCTGTGAACAGCAGCAGCGCCTGGGGCCTGCCCAGGGCCCCTCAGCCCAGGGGCGCCCAGCGGAGGGCACTCAGCCCAGGGGCCCAGCCGAGGGAGCCTGGAACCCATCACAACGCCAAAGCTGCATCTTTGGTTAATTTTACTGAGTTGCCACTTGTCTTAAAACTGTGTTCTTGGCAAAATTACTGAATGAGCCGCATGGCACATGACATGTTATTTAAGTTTAAGTTACTTAAAAAGCAATGCCCATCTGAATAAGTGACAGTGGCTGAAACCATGTAAAACCGGAGGGCAGGAGAGCGGTGGCAGCCTGAGCGTCCTCGTGGGCCTGGGAAGGGCTACTCACGAGGCGGCGACAGTTCTCTACAGAGGCCGCTGTGCCGGCTCAGCTCAGCTCGAAGCCCGCGGCGCACTCGATGGCGTAGAGCAGCTTGCTGCGCAGCAGCGCCTCGTCCTGGAATTCGGGCAGCTTCAGCAGGTTCATGCAGGTGCTGGCGGTGGGCAGCCGCTCCAGGTCGGAGCCGCCGTTGTGAATGCAGAAGGCGGGGTACAGCTCCTAAAAGACCAATTTTAAAATGCCGAACACGACCCAGCTCCCCCAGCTCTGTAGTGACGTCATCTGCATCAATTCCCATCCACCCACACAGACGATGCCTCATGCCCCGCTGGCCAGCGTGGCGCCACCAGAGAACACACCCGGAGCCGGGACCCACTTTGACAGGAACACCGGGTGAGGCCCTGCCACACTGCACGTCAGCCCTGATGCTCTGTGTGTGCGTGATTCAGCACATGTTCTGTGATGGGCAGGACAGGCAAGAGCACAGCCCACAAACACGCTTCTGACCTCTGATCTCTGTGCATTCACCACAGTTACATTAAGCTCCACTTAAACAACATGTGGGATGTGAAACTAAAAAAGGTCTTTTTTTCTAATTATAGTTTGAATATGACTTTCAGCGTCTCTTAAACAGGTCAGAACAGGATGGAGAGAGAAGCAGAAAAACCATGACCGTTGCCACCCCCTGAGCCTCTGCGTGTGCCGAGGGGAACCGGCCTCTGCTGAGAAAGGACTGAGCAGCGAGCGCAACACGTGGTCATGTGACTGGGCGAAGGCAGGAGTGGATTTATTTTACAGCTAAATGCCACGTCTTGGTGTTTTTCTCCTAGCGCTTGAAGTCTTCAGTAGGAAAATGAAGCTCCTACTGAAACTGGAGTCGAGGGCAGCGCCTCACGCATAAGTAAGCAGCGCACGCTCGGCGTTAATTCAGTGAGGGAGCACCCATTGGTTATGTTTCCTACAGCACTTTAATGATTTTTTGTCTGTAACAATCACAGACATTGAGCATATTAAACTTCAATTAGCTTTAGCTGGTGTTAGCTCTCCCACAACCTGGCACTGGCGTGTCAGAGCACAATCTGCATGTACACGTCCTCCTGCCAGGGCCTTGCTGCAGGAGGCCTCCTGCCCAGGGAACCCGCTCACCCGCTCACAGGAAAGCAGAGAACAAACAGGAAGGTGATTTTCCCAACGTGAAGTCTAACTTACGCTGAAAACTCTTAAACTCCATATGTAATATATTTCAGTTCACTGACAAGATCTAGAACAGGAAGCCTATCTCATGTGTCCAGAACAGCATTTTCCAGAATACAATGCACTCAATCTTGGCTGCACAGGGATCAACAGCGACAGGCCGGGAAGGCTGGTCCGCACGGCCGGACCCAGAGGCCGCGGCCACCGCACTGGTTCTCAGGAGCTGCCCCCTGCTCTCCTCTTACTGACAACACTGTTGGCTTCCGCAGACCAGGCATCAGCAGAAATCCCTGGGCCTGGATTTTGCTTAACTTTCTCATTTGTAGGTTAGGTGTTGTTCAGAAATCAGAAGATCCTGGAAGCCTGGTCTGTCATAATAAACTTTACTAGGAAGAACCAAGATGGCGGCATAGATGAACACCAGTACTTCTGCCTCCCTCAACCACATCAAAATTACGACTAAAACACATAACTATCATCCAGAATTTCGGGAATGCTGGCTGGGTGGAAGTACTATAGCTAATGAGGTAAAGAAGAAAGCGCATGAGACTGGTAGGAGGTGTGGAGGCACAGAACAGGCTGGCACACGGGTGCACCATTTTTTCAATCGGGAGAGAGATACAAGCTCCTGCTTCCTCTGAGCTCCAGTGCCAGGCGAGACTCTGGGGGACCCAGACACATACAGGGAGAAACTGGACTGTCTGGCACTGGGGCAGGAACGTGGGGGCAGCTTTCTTCCAGATGGAGTTCCTGCTCTGGGACTTCCCCAGTGCAGGGCTGACTGGCAGCCATTGCTGTTTGCTCCGCCCTGGAGATTCCCTGAGACCTTGCCCTACTCAATTTACAACCCCACCCAAGCTTTGAGCAACAGCTTTTTGCATATGAATGGCCTGTCTTTTCTCAGCCTAAAACCTGTCAAACAAGCTGCACCTGGGTCAGGGGGCCCAAAAGCTATCAAAAGAAGGCCCCCAAGGCTGGCATCAGCAGCAGCCTGCTTTGCTTCACAGCTGGGCCTTGTCTGGGCACTTCCAAACCCGATACAAAGAAGAGGAATCTGCAGATCTCTCTGGAGCTCCTGGTGGGGGACCCCAGGCAGTGGCTGACTTTGCACCTCTTTGGAGATCCACGAGCCAGTGTACCCAGTGATCAGAGTAAAACCATCCAGATTACAACTCTTCACATCCATAAGTGACACACTCAAGGGGCAGACTCACTGAGCACCAAAGCCCCACTGAAGCAAGTCCTGTCCCATAAGGATGTCTCCTGCACAACAGCTCTTCCATTAAAGACACAGCTGATTCTCACAGCGATTGGCTTGGAGTTCAAGTCCTCCCAGTGATACCAACAACAATCAGGGCTCAACTACAACAAGACTGTGCACACAGCCCACAAAGGGTTGCACCAAGAGTGTCCACCTCAGGTGATTGGGGAGGCTGAGCCATTGGGTTCTATAGGACACCTACCACACAAGGCCACGCTAAAAACTCAAGGAGACTTAGCAGCTATCCAGTACATAGAAACAAACACAGGGAAGCAGCCAAAATTCGGAGACAAAGAAACATGTCACAAATGAAAGAAGTGAAAGAAAGCAAACTACTGGATATAGAGTTCAAACCACAGTTATAAGGTTACTAAAGAATCTTTTAGAAACCTCTGTGAACTTAGTGAGACCTTCAAGGTTCTTAGTGAGAATACCAAAAAACTGGAAAGGGACCAGTCAGAAATTAAGCATACACTGACTGAAATAAAAGAATAATAAACAGAGATCCAACAGCAGACTAGAGGATCCCAAGAATCAAGTCAAAGATTTGAAATATGAGGAAGCACAAAATACCCAACCAGAAAAACAAAAAAAGAATCCAAAAATATGAAGATACTATTAAGGAGCCTCTGGGGCAACTTCAAACATACCAACATCCAAATTATGAGGGTGCCAGAAGAAGAGACAGAGCAAGATATTAAAAACCTATCTGAAAAAATGACAGAAAAATTTCCCTAACTAGTGAAGGAATAGACTTACAAGTCCAGGAAGCACAAAGAACCCCAAACAAAAGGAATCCAAAGAGGACCACACCAAGACACATCATAATTAAAATGCCAAGGGCAAAAGACAAAGAGAGAATCTTACAAGCAGCAAGAGAAAAACAGTTAGTTACCTACAAGGGAGCACTTATGTGATTATCAGCTGATTTCTCAACAGAAACTTTTCAGGCCAGCAGGAAGTGGCAAAAAATATTCAAAGTGAAGAACAGCAAGAACCTACAACCAAGATTACTCTACCCAGCAGAGCTATCATTCAGAATTGAAGGTCAGATAAAGAGCTTCACAGACAAGAAAAAACTAAAGGAGTTCACACCGCCAAACCAGTATTATATGAAATGCTGGGGGGAGGGGGGAGAAGAGGGAGAGAGAGAGAGGAGGAGGAGGAGGAGAAGGAGGAGGAGGAGGAGGAGGAGGAGGAAGAAGAGGAAGAGGAGAAGGAGGAGTGGCGGCGGCGAGGGCCTGGGGTGGGGTGGAAACTGGGTAAAGGGTAGCTATGGGAGGGAAAAAGAGGGACATCTGTAATAATCCGAACTATAAAAATTAAAAAAAAAAACAAAACCAAAAAATTTTACTGACAGCCCTAACCAGTTTGGCTCAGGGGATAGATTGTTGGCCTGTGGACTGAAGGGTCCTGGTTCAATTCAGGTTGGGAGCATCTTGGTTGCGGGCACATCTCCAGTGGGGAGTGTATAAGAGGCAGCTGATCAATGTTTCTCTCTCATTGATGTTTCTAACTCTCTATCCCTCTCCCTTCCATTCTGTAAAAAATCAATAAAATATATTAAAAAAAGAAAAAAAGAAAGTTCCCAGGTTCGATTCTGGTCAAGGTTGTGGGCACATTCCCAATACAGGAGGTGCCGGAGGCAGCTGATCAATGTTTCTAATTCTCTATCCCTCTCCCTTCCTCTCTGTAACAACAACAACAACAACAACAACAAATCAATAAAATATATTAAAAAAACAAACAAAACAAAAAAACTTTACCCACAAATTTACTGGATGGCAGCCTGGCTGGTGTGGCTCAGTGGTTGAGCATTGACCTATGAACCAGGAGGTCACAGTTTGATTCTTGGTCAGAGCACATGCCTGGGTTGTGGGGCTCAGTCCCCAGTGAGGTGCGTGCAGGAGGCAGCCTATCAATGATTCTCTATCATCACTGATGTTTCTCTCTCTCCCCCCAACCACCTTCCTCTCTGAAATCAATAAAAATATTTTTAAAAACATTACCAATGACATGGAATCCTTCGTGCACAAGAATTTAATTGTCGCCGCCATTTGTGTCACTGGATGAGAAACGGTTCCACTGAAACCCTTTCATTAGCCCTTATCTACACATGCATGTTTCATTTGGTCTGTCCTGCGCTCCAGGTCCCAACACAGCACCACCTCCCCACCTCCCCGCCCGAGTGCCCACACTCCAGACCCACCGGGGCTCATGCTCCCGGCCCGGGGGTTGCCGGCACAGTGGTTCCCCAAGCCTGTTCTCTGGCCGTCACCGTGGTGACCCGCAGGTGTCTGTCCTGTGGCTGAATGTTAACCTGTTTCTGGGACGTGTGTCTCGTGCTGCGTGCCTCCCCTCCCTCACCCCTCGCAGAGTGCCTCCTCACAGCCCGCAGGAGGCCGAGGCTGACAGGAGCGCAGGGGAGGGCCGCCCTGCCCCCTCTTCCTCTGACACTCAGCTGTGCTCGGAAGGGGCTTGTGTTTTAGGGGACGAGCAGGAAAGGCACTTCCTCTACTTATCCTCAGACAGGTCAGGACAGAAACACAGAGACGCTAGACAAGGGTGCCAACGTTAAGCACTGCTAACTGTGGTCCGTGCCCTCTGCCCAGCTCTTACAGACATTCTACAGGTGTGAAGTGTGCACTGAGGCAGGTGTCAAAACCGCTCACAGTGGGCGCCTGGGAACCATGTGCTTCTGCTCGCACACCTTCTCCCCAGAAAGAGCCTCTACGTTCACCCTGCCTCCCTCAGCTGGGCTGCAAATAGCCCAGGACGCACGACAGACCTGGAGGCAGCAGCTGTGACAGCCAGTGCAGTGCTGGCGGGTGTGCCGGCAGGCTCACAGCCACTGCACTCACCGGACCACCCACAGGCTCCGCGGGACACGGAGCCCCAGTGGACATGGTTGGAACACCGCGTGTACAGTGCTCCTGACGTAGCACAAGGTGATACACCGGGTGCCACCAGACACTGCACACCAATGCCATTTCCCTGACTCCAAGTGCCTGTGCCAGAGCCCACGTGGCACCCCACTGCCTTTCTCAGTCACAAGGGGTCTTAAAGCAAATGCACAAAGCAGTACCTTAAACCCCAGGAGAGGGGGCCGGGAGCAGCTGGTGACGAACTTGAGCAGTTTGCGCTTCTCCTCGTCGGTGAAGCCCTCCACGACACGCCAGAAGGCTCGGATCACAGGGTGGTCGGCGGAATAGCCCCCTAAAAAGTGACACGTATGAAAGAGCAGCGGTGCGCAGGGGTCCCAGGGCCCTACCACAGGGCGCCACGCGGCCCCATATGGTGGTGGCAGCACCTCTCAGGCCCGCCGGGGTGACAGCAAGTTCAGAGGGACAGAGCCTTCGGAGGGACCCCTGCGTCACAGGACCTCGGGGTCTGAGCTCTGGGAGCTCCGCTGGGAGTGCCCTTGGACCCCGCAGGAGCAGCCCTGAGTGACAGGAGCTGCAGGAAGGTGGCCCACTGCAGGGCAGGCCTGGGCTTTTCTCTGTGACAGGGCGCTGTTCGCCCGCCTGATGTCAGCGTCCACATGCTTTACCACCTGTGGCCGACAATCAGCCCACTATTCTAAACTGGAAAGTCTGCTACTTACAGCTCTTAATCTGCTTAAGTGCCTCCTAAAACAGAAGTAATTGCCTTATATTGTTCCCTCATTGTTAATATACTACAGAAATAACATCAATAAAATACCGTAAGTGCATTAATTGGCACTGACGTGAATAGGATGCTATTTTAATCCCATTCACTGGCACAGCCGTCATCAGCGAAGGAGCGAGCTGGGTAGAAGGGGCTGTACAAACCCCAAGACACTTCCTGGCGGGGGAGAGGCTGACCTGGCTCCTTTAGACTCAGGATCTGAGTGGGGGCCATGCGCCCTCAGATTATCTCCTTTACACACACAGGAGAGTTCAAGTTCAGATCAGTGGGAAGACACATGCACACATTTACATGTACATGAATAAACACGTGACCTATTTATATAAATGATTTTAGCAAATTGATAGTTGGCAGCCATCTACACAGCCCCGCTTTAGGACATTTCCAGGAACCCCACGCGTGTCCTCAGGGATCCTGCAAGACGAGAACCTTCCGCAGAGTCCACTCCCAAAAGTGAGCCTGAGGAAGGAAGGCCCAAGCGGCACTCAGAACAGGAACAGAGGTGACTTTCGCTTTAAAAGCTGCAGTAAGACACCGTACCACCTCCACGGAGGCCCTCTGTGCCCAGCTCTGGGGTGCTCACACAGCTGGTGCTGGGCACCGTGGCTGCTCTTTCCAGCCAGCCTTCCCTGCCCGGCCCTCCCGCCCAACCCCAGGCTCTCGCAACGTGCCGGTCCTAGGCACCGTGTCCTTTGGCGCGTGCGGCTTCTTTCCCTTGGTTTAATGTTTCCAAGGTCTCTCATGTTGGAACACGTGTTTGAACTTCATTTCCTTGTAAGGTAGTCCTCTCCACTGGTGCACAGACCATGCTGTCTGCCCACAGGGGGGCATCGGGGCTGCTTCCGTCTTGGCCTATTGGGAACAGTGCACACGCCTGCCCGGGGAGCACTCTAGGAGCGGAGTGCGGGCTTGCACGGCAGTTCTGGGTCTAGGTTCTTGGAACCACCGACCACCTGCGCGGCGGCCACGTCCTGCATGGGTGTGTTTAGAACGCGCTCTCACAAAGCTAGCCTGACTTTCCATTTCCGAGGCAGCTTTTAAGCTTCCAGGCGTTCATGATGAAAAACTCCAATCCCACCGCATTTTCCTGGGCTGCGCTCGGTGCACATCTTGCCTATCCAAGTCAGGGAGACCTTCTTCAGTGTTTTAGAGGTCTGCGATCCGGCTGTGTCTCTACACATGGTGTGAGGAAAGATCTACGTTCACACTTTTCTACATGATATTATCCTTGCATCATCTGACAGGCAAACATCAAACGAGAATATCAGGAAGATCTGCTCTGAGCTCCAGGATGGTCCCACTGACGGTCAGTGCGAGTCCCTGGCCAGCGCCACCACGGGGCTTCAACTCTGCCGGACACAACTGCTTAGGCTGCTTCAGGCCCTTTACATCTCCACGTACAATAGGTGAGCGGCTGAGATTTGATAGGGATCGCATTAATTTGTAATTAATTTGCAAGAACTGCATCTCGACAACTCTGAGTCTTCCAATCCGAGAACGGACTGTCCCCCATTCATTTAAGTCTCCTGTAAACCATGTATAAGTCAGCATTTACTTTGCTAACTTGTATTTTATTCATTTTTGATGCTCCTTTGCATACAATTGTCCATCAGAATAGAACTGCTTCCTGCACATGGATCTACACTACAGCCTTCCGGCCTTGTTCTTCAGCTCCCATGCCTTTCTCTGTCACTCATCTGTGTGGGTTTACTCGTTTCGCTTCTCTTTTCCAAGCTGGAGGTTCCTTTCCTCCCTCCTCCCCGTCCCTTCCACTTGCCCACCCGCCTTCCTGTACTAGCTAGAACCCCAGCACAAGGTTGAGTAAATGTAAAAAAGCATTCGGCTCCCACCGCGCTGCCGCAGGATGGCAGTGGTGAGTTTTTCACAATGTCCTGTTCCAGGTTTAGGAAGATTCCTTCAAGTCCTGTTTCCTGAAAATTTTTTTCCTGGGAGGAGAGGCTAAGATGCTCAAAAGCTGCAACTACTTTTTTCTGTTTCTTTGCATCCATTGCGATGATGATATGGGTTTTGTCCATTATGTTACCCATATATCAATACATTTTCAGATGCTAAGTTAATCTGATATCCAGGGGATAAGTACTCTTTGATTTAATCATTTTTTTATGTGCTGCTGGATTCAGTTTGCTAACATTTTGAGGATTAAAAAAAAAAAAATCTATGTTCATAAGGGACATTAATTTAGAATTTCCTTTTTAAAAAATGTTTTTATTTATTAAAATTGATTGAGGTGACATTGGTCAACATGAACATATAGGTTTCAGGTGTGGGTTTCTATATTACAAGATCTGTATATTTTCTCTGCCTTTGATATCACACTAATAGTGATTTTTGTGGAGAAAAAATCCTCCTCACTCCACTATGCCTCTCAGGATCACAAGGATATGCTTCGATGGCTAAAATATTATTCTTTTTTTAAAAAAATGTTTTTATTTATTTCAGAGAGAGGAAAGGAGAGGGAGAAATAGAAATATCAAAGATGAGCTGAAACTGGTTTGGCTCAGTGGATAGAGCATCAGTCTGTGGACTGAAAGGTCCCAGGTTTGATTCCGGGCAAGGGCATGTACCTTGGTTGCGGGTACATCCCCAGTAGGGGGTGTGCAAGAGGCAGCTGATTGATGATTCTCTCTCATTGATCTTTCTAACTCTCTATCCCTCTTTCGTCCTCTCTGTAAAAAATCAATAAAATATATATTTTTAAAAAATCAATGATGAGAATCACTGATCGGCTGCTTCCTATACGCCCCCAGGTAGGGGCTGGAGCCAGAAATCTAGGCATGTGTCCTGATTGGGAATCGAACTATGACCTATTGGTTCTTGGGTCAACACTCAACCACTGAGCCACACCAGCCAGGCATGCTTACAAAAAGCCCAGGCTGAGTAGCTCAGTTGGTGAAAGCATCATGCCCATACATTAAGGTTGTCAATTCAATCCCTGATCAGGGCACATATAAGAATTAGCCAATGAATGAATAAATAAGTGGAAAACAAATCAATTTTGTTTTGTTTTTTCCCCCTCTAAAATCAAGCAATCAATACAATAAATAAAATAGAAAAAAAAGTACAATGAAGAAAAATCACCTGTAATTTCATTACTTATAAATGACCACTACCATTTTATAAAACTGAAATGGATTAAAAATTTTCTTGGTTTTAAAAAGCAAATTATACCTTAACCGGTTTGGCTCAGTGGATAGAGCGTTGGCCTGAGAAGTGAAAGATTGCAGGTTCGATTCCAGTCGGGGTTGTGTGTACCTTGGTTGCAGACACATCCCCAGTGGGAGGTGTACAGGAGGCAGCTGACTGACGTTTCTCTCTCATCAATGTTTCTGACTATCCTTCTCCCTTCCTCTCTGTAAAAAAATCAATAAAATCTATCAAAAAATAAAAATAAAAAGTAAATTATGCCCAGTGTATAATCAGAAAATAGAGAAAGGGAAACAAAATTTTAAAGAAGCAAAAATGATTTCAAATCTCAGAACCACTTATATTTACTTTTATCTTATTCAACTTTAATAAGTTGAATCTAAGTGGTCATAATTTCTGTTTTCTGATAGATGAAATACTTTAAGTGTTCATGCACACGGTAAAGGCAGTTACTGTGGCTCACAACTGCAATCATTAAAAAAATTTTTGCCGAAACCGGTTTGGCTCAGTGGATAGAGCATTCCGGTCAAGGGCATGTACATTGGTTGTGGGCACATCCCTGGTAGGGGGTGTGCAGGATGCAGCTGGTTGATGTATCTCTCTCATCGATGTTTCTAGCTCTCTATCTTTCTCTCTTCCTCTGTGAAAAATCAATAAAATATATTTAAAAAAATTTTTTAATTGATTTCAGAGAGGAAGGGAGAGGGAGAGATACATTGATTGGTTGTCTCCCCAAGGGCTGGGGAATCTGCAACGGAGGTTAAGTGCCCTTGACAGGGAATCAAACTCATGACCCTATGGTCCTTGGGCCGATGTTTTAACCACTGAGTGAAAACTGGCCAAGTCCATGAGGTTAAATTTTTGTTGTTATTGTTAATCTTCACTCAAGGATACTTTTCCCTTTTATTTTTTAGAGACAATGCAAGTGAAAGGAAGAGACACACTGATAAAAACGATGTGAGAGAGAGACATCGATGGGTTGTCTCCATCACTGCCTCCTTCACTCCAACTGCAGACGGGGATTGAGCCTGCCACGGAGGAAGGTGCCCTTGACTGGAATGGGACCGCAACCTTTTAGTCCATGAGCCAAACCCGCTAGGACCATGGAGTTAATTTTAAAAACAAACAAACATGTTTTTATTGACTCAGAGAGAGGAAGGGAGAGGGAAAGAGAAATTGAAACCACTGAGTGAGAAACATCTATCAGTTGCCTCCTGCACACTCCTTACTGGAGATAAGCCTGCAACCCCAGCATGTGCCCCAACCAGGAATGAAACTGGAGAGCGCGTGGTGCACGGAATGATGCTCAACCGAGCCACACTGGCTGGGCATGACGAGGCTAATTTAAAAAAATTTACAAATGCCCAAAGGCCACCAACTCCCTCTCTGAACAGCCTCCTGTGGCTTTAGTTTGATGACGAAGATTGTTGAGCATCTTTCAATGTGCTTATTGGCCATTTGTTTATCTTCTTTTTGGTTTCTCACTTTCTTGAAAGGCAGTAACATTTAAGTTTAATTTAATAAAAATAAAGATTCCAACAAGGCCCAATTTTTCGTTTTTCTTTTCTTGCTGGAGGGTTTTGGGCTAGCACAGTTCTGAAGAGGAAAAGCCTAGAAGTGTCCAATACCCGTGAGTAGAGCTAAGAAGACAGGCGGTGAGGAGGAAAGCCCCACACGATGCAGAGCAGTGCGTAAGGACGAGGGAAATGGAATGGAATCTGCACGTAAACACATAAAGGCACCTAGAAGAGTCATAACTCATGGCAGGAGGGGAATGGGCAGACGGGCCAAGAACAGGAGAAATGTCGCGGTGGGCCCGCTATACACTCTGGGTTTTAAACCCACATTGTTAAAAATGTTAGCTACAAAAAAATGTACACTGAAAACCACTGTGCCAACATGGGCACTGGGGACATTTCCAGGAATAAATAGCGCGTGGCAGTAACATACCTGAGTAGTTGGTAAAGGATTTCAGGTCCTCTAGACTTATGGGAACTTGTGCACCAGAAATCAGTACCTGAAACAAAAAAGTAATTCATAAACCAGGAGGCCGGTGTGTAGAAAGCCATGTTATGCCAGGCCCAATGCCCAGGTGCCCTTAGGCACGGACCTGAATCTCTTGCTGGTCGAACATGCGCAGCCACTCCAAGTTGACCACGTTGGCCAGGCCCTGCCGGAAGGCCAGGCAGTGCTGGCGGATCTGCCTGTTCAGTCTGTAGTCGGCCACCAAGTGGATGTACGCAATCCGGTTTGCGCTGGTGACAGGGATATCCTTCCCGCCGAATTTTAGTTCTACCACCTGTGAACATTAAAACAAGGGCTCAGCATTCACACACAAGAACCAGACAGAACACTTCTATGGAACGGCTGGCACTGCCGGTAAGCGGGTCTAAGCAGCAGCATGCACCTGGAACCCCACATGTGACTGCGGGCCCAGGCGTCTCATGTGCGTCTCAGCCCGGAATCCAGGTCACTGACCACCCTGCTGTCTCCACAGCACTGAGGCGACAGCAACCATGGCCCTTTCATTTAGAAATTAGAGGACCCTGCGCCTCTCAGGCTAAACAACTAAGTAGGGTTAATGAGAGGGCAGGGCGGGGCGAGGATAAAACTCCTGACTCCACTGTGGGGCGGGGCGGAGTTATCCTCCATTAACTGGACCCTAGCCCAATCAGGGCAGCCAAAGCAGTGACATCACCACCGGAGTAAAACCCCAGGGATTGGCGAAATTTGCTCTCTTCCGCCATGCTGCCAGCGTGAGTGGGACAGGGCCCATGTTAGCATGGAAGAGGCTCTTTTGTTTACTGCATCGGACTCGGCTCCCTGGTGGTCCTTGGGGATCACGAAGTCTGGGCGTAACATTAACATCGTCACACTTGCCCTGAGATGTCTGTGTTGTGGGGCATGTCGCCTGAGTGTGCGGCCCGCCCAGCTCACAGACACTGCATTTCACAGTGGCTCAGAGGCTGGGCTCTTCCGCCACCCTGGGCTCTCCTATCCCCATCCCCAGAGCAGCTCCGCCCCCTGAGCTTGAGGACGGCCTCAGACTGGCCCAAGGTCACTACCACCAAGGACTCCTAACTCAAGCCCATGTTTTTCTACACAACACGGGCCCATCATAAAGCTTGAGTACTTCCACAGGGAGGTGTGTGTAAAGAAATGAAATTCCACACTCCTTTTTATGCATGCCAACAATCAGCCATGCTGACTACAGGCAGAAAAAACGTGTGAGAGCAGAACCATTGTCCTAAAAGGAAGACAGATTAGCAAAGCCTCAAGGTGTTTGCACATCTGGCCTTGAAGTCAGGACAGCCCACAGCTGAGCCAGCAGCGGCTCCAGGCGCTCCCCCAGGCAGGGGCTTTACCAGTGACTTCCTTAAACTTCCCAGTTAGATGCGTCAGTGTAATTATTCTTGTGCACTATCATCTATAATCTCTTTGGGGAATTTCCATGAGTAACTGGAACATCTTACTGCCTGCCACCTTGGCTGTGAACACATCCAGCTCCCAGTGCTTTAATGGGATGCCCCCACCATCACCTACTTCAGAAGGAGAAGCGGGAGCTGCACCCATTAGCAGGCCTCCTACTGCCCTGAGGCTTCTGTGCCCAGTTGAGTCACTCTCAGGGGGCGTAGCAGCCCAGTGTCCAAGTGTCCTTAGGCCTTCACAAATCTCACCTTTAAAAAACACCTGGATGCCGCATTGTTGGAAATGCAGCTTTATGGTACGGAAGAAAATAAAACTAAAGCAACCAAGTTGCAACAACAAAAATAAAAAACAGCTCTGTCTTCCTCACCCTTACTTTTTCTTACAGTGCTGGGGTCTGTTCCCCACACTGCTGCAAGAAAAGCAACCGAGTGGCGGGAAGGGGAGGCCGTGGCAGCACTATTTCCGTTATTCCTGCTTGGGATTTAATCCATACCCACTTCTGCAATACCAGTAGGCTAAGAGACACACTGGAAATTCAGGTACCACAAAGATGATCCTTTAAAACCGCCGCCCCCCCCACCCCAGAAGTTTAGACACTGAAATGTGTAAATCTCCATGTGTGTTCTCTATTTTTATATATTTATTTTATTTTATATTTTATTTAAGTTTAATAAATCTTTATTGTTCAGATTATTGCAATTGTTTCTCCATTCCCGCCCCCCTATAGCTCCCCTCCACCCAATTCCCACTCCATTCTTTGCCCTTACCTCCCCCACATTGTCCTCATCCATAGGTGTATGATTTTAGTCAAGCCTCTTCCCATACCTCCCACATCCCTCTCCCCCTAATTCTATTATATTCACCAGTTTATTCTGTTCCTCAGATTTTTTTTTTATATATATATATATATTATTGATTTTTACAGAGAGGAAGGGAGAGGGATAGAGCTAGAAATGTCGATGAGAGAGAAACATCGACCAGCTGCCTCTTGCACATCCCCTACTGGGGATGTGCCCGCAACCAATGTACATGCCCTTGACCGGAATCGAACCCGGGACCTTTCAGTCCGCAGACCAACGCTCTACCACTGAGCCAAACCGGTTTTGGCCTGTTCCTCAGATTTTTAATTCACTTGATTTTTAGATTTACTTGTTGATAGTATGTGTTGTTTATAATTTTTATCTTTACTTTTTTCTTCTTCTTCTTCTTCTTAAAGAATACCTTTCAGCATTTCATATAATACTGGTTTGGTGGTGATGAACTCCTTTAGCTTTTTCTTATCTGTGAAGCTTTTTATCTGACATTCAATTCTGAATGATAATTTGCTAAGTAATATTGGTTGTAGGTTCTTGCTATTCATCACTTTGAATATTTCTTGCTACTCTCGACAGGCCTGCATAGTTTCTGTTGAGAAATCAGCTGATAATCGTATGGGTGCTTCCTTGTACGTAACTAACCAGTTTTCTCTTGCTGCTTGTAAGATTCTCTCTCTGTCTTTTGCCCTTGGCATTTTAATTATGATGTGTCTTGGTGTGGTCCTCTTTGGATTCCTTTTGTTTGGTGTTCTGTGCACTTCCTGGACTTGTAAGTCTATTTTTTTCACCAGGTGGGGGAAATTTTCAGTCATTATTTCTTCAAACTGGTTTTCAGTATCTTGCACTCTCTCTTCTTCTGGCACCCCCATAATTCTGATGTTGGTACACTTGAAGTTGTCCCAGAGGCTTCTTACACTATCTTCATTTTTTTGGATTCTTTTTTCTTTTCTGATTGATTGTTCTTTGCTTCTTTGTATTTCAAATCTTTGACTTGATTCTTGGGATCCTCTAGTCTGCTGTTGGATCTCTGTATAATATTTTTTATTTCAGTCAGTGTATGTTTAATTTCTAGTTGGTTCTTTTTCATATCCTCAAGGGTCTCATTAAATTTATTGGTCTTTTCTAGGAAATTATTGAAAAACCTTATAACCGTGTTTTTGAACTCTATATCCAGTCTTTTGTTCTTCTCCATTTCATTTGTGATCTGTTTCCTTGTCTTGTTTTTGCTGCTTCCCTGAGTTGGTAGGGTGACTTTGTTTGCTAGTTGTCCTATATGGTTCAATGGGTCAGCCTCCCAGTTACTTTGAGGTGAACACTTGGTGCACCCCTTTGTGGACTGTGTGTACAGCCTTGTTGTAGTTAAGTCTTGATTGTTGTTGGTGTCACTGTTAGGAATTGACCTCCAGGCCAATTGGCTGTGAGGGCCCACTGTGTCTACGATGGAAGAATTGCTGTGCCGGAGACACGCTTATAGGGCAGGACTTGTTCCAGAGGGGCTTTGGTGCTCACTGAGTCTGCCTCTTTTTTTTTTTTTTTTTTTTTTTTTTAAATCAATCTTTATTGTTCATATTATCACAAAGGTTCCTCATTTCTTCCCCCCTCCACCAGGTTCCCACCCCACCCTCCGCCCCCTCCCCATCCCCCATTGTCCTCATCCATAGGTGCACAGTTCATGTTCAGTCTCTTCTTCCCTCCATTTCCCGGATAGTAAATCCCTTTTCAGATAGTTACTTAGCATTTTCTCATATCAATAATACTTCCACATGCCCAATGATACACTTCACCCAAAAGACATTTCCCAATAGGTCAAATAGCCTCATCCAGGCCCCACCAAAGGCACTCACAGATCAACACCCCAGCCCTATACTAATTCAACACATCCAGATCTAAGCCTTCATCACTTGATTCAGCAGTCCCTCAAGTTCCTGCGAAGTTTCCAGTCATGTCTGAGAGGCAGCCGTGGGGCAGGGGCAGGCAAGGAGCGAGCTGTTCTGGGCCTGGCTGCTCAGGGCCTGGCCTCTGTTGCTCTGGTTCATTCTTTTTTTTTTTTTTTTTTTTTTTAAATCAATCTTTATTGTTCATATTATTACAAAGGTTCCTCATTTCTTCCCCCCTCCACCAGGTTCCCACCCTACCCTCTGCCCCCTCCCCCTCCCCCATTGTCCTCATCCATAGGTGCAGTTTATGTTCAGTCTCTTCTTCCCTCAATTTCCCCGATAGTAAATCCCTTTTCAGATAGTAAATCAGTTACTTAGCATTTTCTCATATCAATAATACCTCCACATGCCCAATGATACACTTCACACAAAAGACATTTCCCAATAGGTCCACCAGCCTCATCTAGGCCCCACCCAAGGCACTCACAGATCAACACCCCAGCCCTATACTAACTCAACACATCCAGATCTAAGCCTTCATCACTTGATTCAGCAGACCCTCAAGTTCCCACGAAAGTTTCCAGCCATGTCTGAGAGGCAGCCATGGGGCAGGGGCAGGCGAGGAGTGAGCTGTTCCGGGCCTGGCTGCTCAGGGCCTGGCCTCTGTTGCTCTGGTTCGTTCCACAACCAGCTGCTCCGGATCTGGTCACTGCCGCTCCCGACCTAGTTGCTCTGGACTTGGCAGCCGCTGCTCCGGGCCTGGCCGCACCCGACCCGGCTGCTCCCCCGGGCCTGGCCGCTCCCAGCCTGGCAGCCGCTGCTCCGGGCCTGGCCGCACCCGACCCGGCTGCTCCCCCGGGCCTGGCCGCTCCCAGCCTGGCAGCCGCTGCTCCGGGCCTGGCCGCACCAGCCCCGCCTGCTCCCCCGGGCCTGGCCGCTCCCAGCCTGGCAGCCGCTGCTCCGGGCCTGGCCGCACCCGACCCGCCTGCTCCCCCGGGCCTGGCCGCTCCCAGCCTGGCAGCCGCTGCTCCGGGCCTGGCCGCACCAGCCCCGCCTGCTCCCCCGGGCCTGGCCGCTCCCAGCCTGGCAGCCGCTGCTCCGGGCCTGGCCGCACCAGCCCCGCCTGCTCCCCCGGGCCTGGCCGCTCCCAGCCTGGCAGCCGCTGCTCCGGGCCTGGC